CATAGATTAGTTGTACAAGGGAGTTCATCATGGCATTTCCATATGTGTATACAAAATGTACCCCATCAACTTCACCCTCTCCACTTCTCCCTTATCTCCCCCCTCCTTCTTAAAACAATTTCAATTCATTGCAGTGTTCTCTTTTTCAAGGAAAGTGATCTTGATAGGTAATTAGCAGTGTTCACACTCACTGTCCTGGAAAGTAGCCAATTAGGGAAGGAAAAGCAAATGGCTAGTACTTATCTAACCCTATCCAAACCTAACCCACACTTCTCCACAATACAGTCCTGTGTCACTTGAAGTGAAAAGAATATCTTGTGCTGATGACATCATCATTGTGCGCTTTTGTCAGTTTTTCATGGGAACCTCTTAGACTTATATCTCAGTGAACCTAGCTGGATAAGTCAGCCATTCCATACATTCTATGATACAACCAAGAGATGCGGTAGCAAGTGGAGCTGTGACTCGAATGGTAGAGTGTCCACCTTGAGTGAACAAACAAACAAACAGGAGAGAACCTGAAGCCCTGAGTTCAAGCCCCAATACTGGCACAGAAAAAGAAATTGCTGGACACTGGTGGCTCACAGCTGTAATCCCAGCTATCCAAGAGGCTGTGATCTGAGAATCAAGGTTCAAAGCCAACTTGGGCAGAAAAGTCTGTGAAACTCTTATCTCCAGTTAACCACCAAAGAGTCAGAAGTGGAGGTGTGGCTCAAGTGGTAGAGAGACAGCTTTGAGTGAAAAAGCCAAGTTAGAGTGAGAGGCCCCATGTTCAAGCCCCTGTAGCAGCACAAAAAGAAAGTTTAAAAAAATGTGCATCTGGGGACTGGGAAGGTGGCTCAGTGGTAGAGTGTTTGCCTTGCATGCCTGAGGCCCTGGGTTCGATTCCTCAGCACCACATAAGCAAAAAGAAAAAAGCTGGAAGTGGCGCTGTGGCTCAAGTGGTAGAGTGCTAGCCTTGAGCTGAAGAGCTGAGGGACGGCGCCCAGGCCCAGAGTTCAGGCCCTACGACCGGACCCCAAAAAAAAAATGTGCATCTGGCTACTGTGGGCCTCACAGCATGCTGCTTCACAGAAAACTTCCTAATGTAAGAAAAAATATACTCTATAATAATGACTGAAAAGTCTAGTATAACAAATACATAGCATTCATTACGGTCAAGTCTTAAGTCCTATCCCTAATTATATAAGCTATGCTTTTCTATGACCTCCAGTACAGTAGGTCTGTTTACATCAGCATCACCACCAACAGTTTTCTGTTCTCTATCCTTAGGACAGCTACAATGTCACTGTGTCATAAGAATTGTTCATCTCTACTACAATCTTACAAGACCACTATGCTATGTATGTGATCCATCATTGACTGCAACATCATAGGACACAGGACTGAACAATAATACAACAATACAAGATTACATTTGAGGGGACCTATGGTGTGTGTGTGTGTGTGTGTGTGTGTGTGTGCTGGTCCTGAGGCTTGAACTAGGTTTGGACACTATCTCTGAGTTTTTCTGCTTAAGACTAATGCTCTATGGGGCTGGGAAGATGGCTCAGTGGTAGAGCGTTTGCCTTGCATGCCTGAGGCCCTGGGTTCGATTCCTCAGCACCACATAAGCAAAAAGAAAAAAGCCGGAAGTGGCGCTGAGGCTCAAGTGGTAGAGCGCTAGTCTTGAGCTGAAGAGCTGAGGGACAGCGCCCAGACCCAGAGTTCAGGCCCCATGACCGGACCCCCCCCAAAAAAAACACAAAAAACCCCAAAAGACTAATGCTGTACTGGGCTCAACTGATCCCCCTATTTCAACCTCCTGAGTAGCTGGAACTACAGGCACCAATCACAGCTCTCTTCTTTATGTGCATGTGTACACATGTGCATGCCAGCCCTGGGGCCTGGGCGCTGTCCCTGAGTTTTGTTTTGTTTTGTTTTGCTCAAGGCTAGCGCTCTACCACTTGAGCCACAGCTCTACTTCTGGCTTTTTGCTGGTTAATTATAGATAGGCGTCTCATGGACTTTCCTGCCTAAGCTAGCTTTGAACTGTGATCCTAAGAGCTCAGCTTCCTGAGTAGCTAGGATTACGGACATGAACACCAATACCTGGCTGGAGTTATGCTCCTTGAAGTAAAAGCAAAATTGAGAGAAATGTCTTCCCTCTGTGCTATCCCCTTACTACTTCCGATGGACACAGGATGGCCAGGCTGTGCAGGGTTCAGCAGGTTTCCTTGGGTAGAGAGTGAGAGTGATTTAGCCCCTCCAAAGTGCTTGGTGGCATCCTTCCACCAGAGATGAGCTGCACACCTGACCGGAGGAGCAGCTTGGTCTTTTCCTTTTCTTTCTTTTATGTATTCATGTGAGTTGGGGTGTGGGGGCCTGTGGAACAAACCCAGGGCCTTGCTCATGCTCGCCAAGAGCCACGCCCCTTCACTGAGCCACACCCCAGCCCTGGAATATGTGACCCAGATCACTCTTAAGACAAATAATTTTTGCAGGTGAGAAGCTGGTGCTTTGGTGAATCTGCTAACTGCTTTCCATGGCCTTCGGTGTCACAGATTTGAGCCTGGAGAAGACCTTGCCCATGCTCCCCCAGGGATGAGGACATCACTGTGGTTTCTTGTCTAATGTGGGCTTCATGCTCCTCCATCTTCCCAAACCTGCTCTGCCCCTTTGTCTTCACCTGGAGGAGAAATCCAAGATGGACACTGGCTTTTCCTTCTCTCTCCTCTCCTCGCCCAGCCTCCTGGAGCTCAAAGTATCTGGGTCGTTCTCAGTGGGCTGTGTTCACCAGCAAGGCCTGGAGGTTCCGTTCGGCCCACATGCAGGCCCACACGGGTGTGACCCAGCTCCCTCATTTGTGCCCCACTAGTGGAAGGAGAGTGAGGCTGCTGCTGCTCGCAGCTGCATTCCTGTCATCCGTGGGTAGGTCCCTGGGGCCACCCGTGTCTATGCTGTTACACTGCTAGAACCTTTGGCTTCTGTTTCCTTAGCCTCACCATCCTCTGGGCTATCATCTCAAGCCAGGCACCACTCTTGCTCTTTTCCCTGCCTCTTGCTCCTAGAACGTGTCAGGAGAAACTGCCTAATGCTCAGGCCAGAGCGTACCCTCATCTGCATGGACTGCCTATAGCATCCTTCATGAAGCTGCAGACTCCTCACTGCATACGGAGAGCTTCTGAGCTCCCAGCCTTGCGCTCTCTCTCTCTCTCTCTCTCTCTCTCTCTCTCTCTCTCTCCTAGTCTTCTCCCCAAAGTCTCAGAGCCCTGGCTTTCCCATTTCATGTGTCCAGCCTTCTCGTACACCCTACTCATATCAACTGCAGCCTTGCTAGAGGCTCTTGTGCAAGCGAGGCCCAGCCTCCCAGGTGCCTGCACACACAGACCTCTTTATGCTTTGTATCTGCTTCACATGCATGTTTGTGTGATCTCTCATCAGACCCTAAGCTTCCAGAGGCTGCTGGACAACACATGATCAATGATTCCTCCTTATACTTTTCCACACCACAGCTGGGACACCAGGCCAGACGCTGAGCAGTCCCAGGAGGTGGAGGCTGGGGATGGAGAAGGACACATAAAAGTTTACTGACTAGGTGGCTATGAGGAGAGGAGGGACTGGAGAACATTCCAGTCCCCGGATGTGCTGGATGGGAATCGGAGAGGAGTTGGGGGCAGAGCTTGGTGTGGACAGGCACGGGGTAGGATCAGGGTTGAGATGCAGGCTACTAAGTAGGCTGAAGTTTACTTGAAGCTGAGAAATACTGAGCTGTGGAATCTCTGGTGCAGAGGGGCTGCGGACATGTGAGAGGACAGGAGGACTTTCGGGAGTCCATGCTATAGGCGGTGGCTGAGGAGCAGAAGGCAGGGGTCTGCAGTGGTGTCCTGCGAGCCAGGGAGGAATTCCAGGGGATGAGTGGTCCATAGAGTCACATGCCAAGAGTTAGACAGAAGGCCAGGAGCCGAAGAGACCCACCCTAGTGCACCAGCCAGCCTGTGCGCTGCCCTCTCCTGGGCCATTTTCCTTTCTCCTTGGGGGAACCATCCTGCATGCTGAACACAACAGGCAGAGCCACGCTGCCCTCTGAGACCTCCTACCATGACAGGCAGGCCGCTGGCTTTGTTCCCTCTCACCACCACTGTGCATTAATGGAGTCTCATGGGAGGGAGGCTCTCCTACAGAGCCAGCCAGCCCCACCCCTTCCTTGCACCTCTGATTCTTATCTGTCTCTGCCTCTCTATCTCTTTCTCCTCTCTCTCTCTCTCTCCATTAAAAACATAATTTGAGGAAAGTGGAGATAGGGTTTAAGTGATAACGCATCAGCCTTGAGCAGGAAAAGCCAAGCAAGAGCAAGAGGCCCTGAATTCAAGTCCCAGGACTGGTGCACATGCATGAGCACGTGTGCACACTCACACACACACACACACACCCCTAGTGACAGGCAGCACAAATGGGAAGATCAGAGCCCAGGCCAGCTCAGGTATAAAGCAAGACCCTACTTTGAAAATAATCAGCACAAAAAATGGGCTGGAGGCATGGCTCAAGTGGTAGAGCATCTGCCTAGCAAATTTAAGGTTCTGAGTCAACAATACTGCAAGAAAGGATGGAAGAAAGGGAGAAAGGAAGAAAGAGAGGGGGAAGGGAAGGAGGAGGAAGAGACATTTGTCTTTTGAGCTGGGTATCAACAGGTGGCTTCTACTTTGGGTGACTGGAATGATGGCGTGTGTAGCTCAGGGCTGCAAGTCAAGGGCAGAGCGGAAGGGGGCTGGGGTTAAAGAAGAGGAGAGCACAGGATTGGGTGTTGCTTTATTCGGCAGACCACAGTACAGCCCTTGTAGGGCTTGAGAGGGCATGCTGAGGGAAGAAGAGGACCTCTCCTCTGACTCCCCCACCTCTCACCTCGGAGAAGTGGCCATGTCCCTTGCATGGGAACAGACAGAGCTTTCCAGTGCCAAGCCCATTGTCTGGTCTGGCCCCAGAAGCCCCTGCCCAGGTTCTTGACTCAATCTGCCCCGTACCTAGGGTCCTGCTGCCCTAGTCTCAATAGTCACGGTGAGCCTCATGGAGCCGCAGCTTGACCTCAAGTCCCATGCCTGACTAGAGTTGTACAGCATGGCCGAGGAGCCCATGCCCTGCAGGGGAGACAGCTGGACGCTCAGCCAGTGACACTGGACCTCATCACAAGCAACCGCCACAGTGCCCTCAGGGTTGCTATAGGTGCAGTGGCTGTGTTCCGCCCTTTTATCCACCTCCAGATCCCAGCTACCCCCCAGTTCCCTGTCATCCAGTGCCAGGGCCTGGAAGCCCTGGTGACTCCTGGTGACAGGACACACCAGCTGCTCCTCCTTCAGGGCCGGTACCACCTGGCCCTTGAGGTAGGTGGGGCCTGCACAGTAGGTGTGGATGTTGAAGAGCTGGTCGCTGTACTGGCGCAGCCAGCTGGAGAGGTAAGCCAGATGGCAGTCACACTGCCAGGGGTTGCCATACAGGGCAAGGTTGAAGAGGTCATAGTTGGTGTCAAAGAGGCCCTCTGGAAGCGTGGTCAGCTGGTTCCTGGACAGGCTGAGCAGTTTGAGACTGGACAGGTTCTGGAAGAGGGTTGGAGGTAGGGATGTCAGGTTGTTGCTGCCCAGGTAGAGCTTGGCCAACTTCCCAAGGCCTCGGAAGACACCAGCGGGGAGGTGGGTGATGGCGTTGTAAGAGATGGTGAGGGAAGTGAGGCTGGACAAGTTGGCAAAGGTCCCTTCAGCAATCGTCTGCAGCTGGTTGTGTGACAAGGACAAGCCGACCAGGCTGGGGGTTAGGGCAAAGAGACCAGGGGGCAGCACATTCAAGGCATTGCCCTGCAGGTTCAGAAAAGTCAGGTTGGCCAGGGAGGAGAAGACAGAGAGCGGCAGGTGGCTGATCGCGTTGCGCTGCAGCCAGAGCTTCTCCAGGCAGAAGAGCTGAGCAAACACGCGTGGGGGCAACTCTGAGATGCCATTGCTGTCCAGGAAGAGCTCCTGCAGCTTGTGCAGATGGCTAAACGCATCTTCAGAGAGGTGGGAGAGAGCGTTGTTGCTCAACTTCAGGGTCTGCAGGCTGGAGAGGGGGCGCAGCAGGTTCTCAGGGAGCTGGACCAGACGGTTCTGAGCCAGGTTGAGGGTCTTCAGCTCCCTCAGAGGCTGGAAGAGCCTCTCAGGCAGGGTCTGGAGACGGTTCCCCTGCAGCTGCAGTGACTCCAGGGCAGCCATGTGGAGGAAGAGGTCCTCAGGCAGAGTCTCCAGCAGGTTAAAGTTGAGGGTCAACGTGGCCAGCGAGGTTAGGTTGGAAAAGATGTCAGCGCTGAGGTTGGAGAAGGCACTGCCTGTGATCTCCAGGTCCTCCAGCCTGGGCAGCCCCCCAAAGGCATCTGAGTCAAAGCAGTGGAGCTTTGTGTTGAGGAAGACCACTTTGGTCAGCCTGGGACTGCTGCTGAAGGCCCTGGTTCCCACACAGGTGAATGCGGTCTCCACAAAGACAATGTTGGTGGCATAGGGTGGGATGTCCGGAGGGATGGCAGCCAGCTGCTCATCGGAGCAAAACACTTCATGGCTGAAGCAGTCACAGTCCGCAGGACAGGGCTGGGCAAGCCTGACCAGGAAGAGGAGGGAGGCCCAGCACCACCAGGCTTGAGGGAGCATCTTCTGGAAGTGAGAGAAGAGATAGGACTCCTTTACCAAGGGCAGCAAGTACTGGCAGCAATTCTGGAGGTGGGACCAGACCATCAGCAAGGACCAGCCGTATCAGGAAGGCCACAGTGTGAACAACACTTGTGGGTTCTTTTTGTTTGTTTGTTTTTGTGATGCTAGGGATGGAAGCTAGCTTCATGGGTAAGTGAGGCAGACATGCTACCCTTGGGCTGAGCCTCCAGTGTGGTTTTTATTCTAGCAGATTTTTTACATCACCTCACCACAGCCTTGCAAAGAGCTAAGGTCAAGTTCACACCTTCTGAAAGCAAAGGTGTCATGTAACCTATCCAGACACCCAGAAAGATAGCAGCCATGGCAGCACCAAGACCCAAGTCTTTTGGATATTTCCATATTCTTTCCATGTTAGAGAAAAAATAGAGACAAAAGATCAGGGAAGAAACAAAGGAGATAGTGGTAGTGTGGAAGTTTTCAAGAAAGTATGTAAGCTGGGCACCAGTAGTTCATTCCTGTAATACTACCTTCTCAAGAGGCTGGGATCTAAGGATCGTGGTTCAAAGACAGCCCAGGCAGGAAAGTATGGGAGACTCTTATTTCCAATTAACTACCAGAAAAAGGAAAGTGGAGCTGTGGTTCAAGTGGTAGAGCTAATTAGCCTTGAGTGAAAAAGCTCAGAGACCCAGTGCTTAGGCTCTGAGTTCAAGCCCCAGGACTGGCACAGAGAGAGGAGACAGACAGACAGACAGACAGAGGTAGATGGGGGGGGGGAAGGGAGAGAAAGAATGTGAAGTGTGGGCAGATTACACCTGAAGTGGTAATTTCTTAATGCCCCCTAAGTTTCCAGATCTTAGTCACTGCAAGACTGGCTGTTGTTTGTGAGGGGCACGCTTCGAGTCTAAGCTCTTCAGCACCACCATCAGTACCCTCCTCCCACCCCCAGACCCAAACTGTGATGGACCCAGGGAATTTTCTAGGGTTGTATGAACAGAAGAGTCCCGAACAGGCAATTCTACACACCAGAAGATCTTTTTTTTTTTTTTTTTGTCAGTCGTGGGGCTTGAACTCTGGCCCTGGGCGCTGTTCTTGAGCTCTTCAGCTCTACCACTTGAGCCACAGCACTACTCTCAGTTTTCTTGTGCTTAATTAGAGATAAGAGTCTCATGGGGACTTTCCTGCCTGGGCTGGCTTTGAACAGTGATCCCAGATCTTAGCCTCTTAAGTAGTTGGGATTACAGGCGTGAGCTACCAGCACCTGGCAAGATCTAATGTTTTTTAGTTTACTAAATATTATTGAAAAATAAAATTATTGCAGGTACTGGTGGCTCACACCTGTAAGCCTAGCACCGCAGGAGACTAGCACCAACAGCATCACTGTTGGAAATCAGCCTGGGCAGGAAAGTCTATGAGACTCTTCTCTCCAATTGACCATCTAAGAACTAGAAGTGGAGCTGTGGCTCAAAGTGGTAGAACACTATCTTTGAGCAAAGAAGTGCAGGAACAGTGCTCAGACTGAGTTCAAGCCCCAGTTACAACAACATCAACAATGGTTGAGATTCTGGGAGTGAGGAGGTTCATATCCAGCCTCAGTTGGGGTTCAATAGCCCCTACCCCATTGGAGGGTGCACACTCCTAAACCATGTCTGAACTTGTGTTACTTATTTACATGGCTGGAAGTGGTTTGAACTTCATTAGATGTCAACCCAAGTCCATCACTCGCCACTCATGTGACCTTGAATGTGACACTTACTCTATGTTCCAGCTTCCTCACAAGAATGACACAGGGCCTACTGAGTCCACTCTGGGCTTCCCCACCCAGCTACAGTTCGTTGGCTGTCTCTCTGCTGCCCTCAGCTGGTTGCCTCCTCCAACAACTTCAAGATTCAGCTATGAAAGCCGCCATTTGCAAAGATATCCCTCAAAACAGCCCTTTCAAGAGCCCCTGATGCTCCTCCCACTCGGGCATTCAGTGACATTCACTTTTCCCAGGAATTTATTTCCTACCCAGTAGACAAGGGACAAGGTTTCCTTGAGCAGACACATTCCTCCTTAAGGAAGTCCAAAATAGGAAAGGAGAGTCAATCACAATCCTAACTCCTGCCTGGAGTCAGAAGCTGACTTCTGCCCTCATTCCTTCTAGGAAGGGAAAACATCTTCACTGAGTCAAGATGAAGATGTAGCTGGGCGCCAGTGGCTCACGCCTGTAATCCTAGCTACTCAGGAGGCTGAGATCTGAGGATCACGGTTCAAAGCCAGGCAGGGCAAGAAAATTCATGAGACTCTTATCTCCAATAAACCACTAGAAAATCAAAAGTGGCACTGGGGCTGAAGCAGTAGAGGACTTGCCTTGGGCTGAAGAATGTAGAGACAGCGCTCAAGCCCAGAGTTCAAGTCCCACAACCAACCCCCCACCCCACACACACCAAAAAAAAGATGAAGATAAGAAGGTTGGCTCCTCACATGTGCAGGCTACAGGTTAAATGTAGAGTCATGAATCCCACCCACTGCCTGTCCTCTTCACTTTGCATTTGAGTCTTTTCTGTATTGAGTAGAGACCCTCCCTCTGGCACTCCATATTTATACCACAGCTCTACTTCTGACTTTTCTCTGATTAACTGGAGATAAGAATCTCTTGGCTGAGATCCAAGGATCATGGTTCAAAGCCAGCTCTGGCAGGAAAAGTCTTATCTCCAATTAACCACAAAAAGCCAGAACTAGAGCTGTGACTCAAGTAGTAGAGCACTGATGTTGAGCAAAAGATCTCAAAGATAGCACCCAGGCACTGAGTTCAAGCCCAAATACTGGCACACAATACACGCAAAAATGTCTCTTGGATTTCTTGGATTTGTCTTCCCAGGTTGGCTTCAAACTGTGATCCCCAGATATCAGACTTCTGAGTAGCTAGGCTTATAGGCATGAGCCACCAATGCCCAGAAATAGACTGAACCTTTCTAAATGGCTCACTCCTAAGCCAAGGCCCATTCTCACATAACTCTGGAATAACTAAGAGTTTGCACTCTGAGATCAGTAAAAATGAAAAATAAGAAAACAGGAATCTAGAGGCCAGGCGTGGAGGCTCATACCTGCACTCCAGAACTTGGGAAACTGAGGCAGGATTGTGAGTTTCAGGCTATATTGTGATACCTTGTTACAAAAAAAAGCAGCAGTGGTAGAGTTTTTGCCTAGCTTTCAGTCAGAGTAATAGTATCTTTCATGTGGGCTGCTGTAAAGAGAGTACCTAGAAAACTCCATAGCTAGGATTGATAAGCCATGAATGCTCAGCCCTGCTAGTGCTCCTGATCCTCCTGAGCTCAGAGTCTCAGTACTGTTCTGAAATAATCAGAATCCAGCTCTGAAAAAACCAATGACATCATCCAACCACTCCACTCTGGACCAAAGAGATGTCTCACCACAGTTACTGCTCCCAATCCCTTCCTTCCGGGGCAAGGAAAAGGAGGGTTTTCATCTTGTTTTAGAGAAGCCCAGATTCTGAGGCCCTGGGCTGGGAGCCTTCCCAGCCCATCATCCAGACAGCAGGTCACCAGGGAGCACCCACACGTAGAGGAGACCCACACCTCAGGGCCTCAGTGGGCATTAGCCAGAAGTTACTGGTTTTCACTCAGGAAGTAGTCCAGAAGTGCCCACAGAAATGTTCCATACTTTCAGCAAGCCTTGGAAGCCTGGCCTTTTCTATGTTTAACATTTTAACTTTTTATTTTTGGTTGACTGAATGCAAATAGACTCCATCCTTTTCTCAAATTGTTTTTGGAGTGTCCCTTGTGGGTGCACCAAGCCCATTTGTCCATCAACAATGGAGTCAAACCTCACTTCTTCCAGAGGGTGCTGGGAGCCTGGAGCTTGGCCCACAGCTCAGGGCACTGCTGCAAAGTACTGACTGACCCACAGGATTCTGCCTTTTGGGCCATAGTTCATCTAGAAGCACAAAGAGGATCTTTCAAATCTCGTCAGGAGACCTGGCTGCCTTGTCTGGTTCCTGGGGAAAGCCTGCTGTCCCAAAATCTGGTCTCTTATTTTCCTCTCAACCCAACAAACTAAGCTTTGCTCCTCACCACCATGATACTTACTCGTGTCTCATGAGATAGGCCAAGCTGAGACCCTGCTTCCACATCTGTGAGTGCAACCCTATCACCTAAACTGCAGTCATGTTGCACTAGTGAGGGACTTAAAGGAGGCCACAAGGCAGTAGAATATCAAAGAGAGAATAGAAACAGCCTACATGGCCTACTCCAGAGGCTGATTGGGTAAATTATGCTACAAGGATGAAAAGGAAATCTTATCTGTTGTCATTATAGATATATTATCTATTGATGTTTATAATCTATTGATAAGCCACTTAACTGGAATCTAGAGTATCAAAATGCTACATTTAAGGAATATTTGTGCATTAAAAAGATGACAGAAGATTATGCACAAAATCGTTGCAGTGCTTATCTCTGAATAATCAAATTGTGGGTGATTTAACTGTGGCCTTTTGCTTAAAAATATGTCCTAACCAGGCATCAGTGGTTCATGTCTGTAATCATAGCTATTCAGGAGGCTAAGATCTGAAGATTAGGGTGTGAAGTCAGCCAAGGGAGGAAAAGTCAACTCTTTTTTTTTTTTTTTGGTTGGTCGTGGGGCTTGAACTCTGGGCTTGGGTGCTGTCCCTCAGCTCTTCAGCTCAAGGTGAGTGCTCTACCGCTTGAGCCACAGCATCACTTCCAGTTTTCTAGCAGTTTATTGGAGATAAGAGTCTCACAGACTTTCCTGCCTGGGCTGGCTTTGAACTGTGATCCTCAGATCTCTAGCTAGGATTACAGGCGTGAGCCACCGACACACGCATGGTGAAAAGTCAACTCTTCTCTTCAGCTGATTGCCAAAAAAACAAAAGTAGAGGTGTGGCTCAAGTAGTAGAGCTCTAGCCTTGAGCAAAAGTAAACTCAAGGATAATGCCCAGGCCCTGAATTCAACCCCAGGACTGGCACACACACACACAC